TTGAGTTATGCGCTTTTTAAGCGGACTTTTATATCATATGATTTTATACTATTTACCAAGACCCTGATCAGGCAAAAAGTGGATTAAAGTGGCGCGATAGTGGTATGCTTAGGTATACTATCGTATGATGCTTCCCCATAAATCGAATGCAAAGATACAGATACATACTCCTTCTAACATGGAGATATATTAATACTGAAACGTTCAAAACGTGTCTTATGTGTACCATGTTTTAATGCTACATTTAGAAAGGTGAAGCCCGTTAAGCTATTAACAGTATCAAGCCTTACGAGGCCGTGTTCTTATAAAGTACTGGTAAGTTTATGATAATATTTTTCTGGTTCTTCTGGAAAACGCAACTCTGCAAAGAGGTTGTTTTCTTGCTGGTTTGGTTTATATAGTTTTATGTTTGAGAAAAGTAACCTACAACGCCATCGGTACTTTGGATTTAGAACCATTGTAGCTAACAAAGGACCACTGGAGTTTGAAAAGAAGTATAACGATTTCTGCACATGCAGAGATTAATTATCTCACTACACATGCGCACCATTAATCGTAAAGGACGCCTTTTTTACCAATTTTAGATGGGTCAACAGTGAGACATTGCGACATATTTTGACCATGGAAAATGTCGCGTTTTCGCATTGTCACCATTTATCAAAAGTAAAAACTATTATCAAAAGCGCGACGACGCGACAAATGATCAAAATGTGCCGCTTGGGACATTGTCGCGCTTTGGTTAAATTTGATACTGTTCGCTTTTTTTTAATGAGGGCAACATCCCCAAAATATCCCTTCCAGAGAGAAATGACACATTGGGAATGTTCAAAGCAGCGTTATAACTCACTGGCAGATAATAAATGTGAATCGTTAGGCTTCAACAACTAACTACTGTAAATCTTGAAATTAACGCGAGGTTGAATTAAATGCGAACAATGAGAGTGTTTTTGATCGCATTGTTAAACATCGCATTTATATCAACAATAAGACATTTTGGATAGCAGATATACAAACTTAGGCATACGCTGAAAACAAACAACTATGTATTCCACATCACTGTTTATTGAGCAGCATTTGTAACAAGTATATAAACAATGTCATTCAAACACTAATTACATTATATTCAGCAATCACCATACCAGATAGTTGATTACACATGCTCGTGGGTATAGATATAACGTACATATGAGACGAGTGAGTAGGTTAGTATGGTTTTAGGCCGCTCTCAGCGAGATTCATGCAAAATCACGACAGGTGACCCAGGAAATGGTATGAGGCGAAATGGGGTTTATGGTCGCAAGATGAATGCGCTTATTAGTCCAGACTAATGCTGTTTTGTTTTTCTAGCCCGTTGAGATTCCATGCCGCAGATTAACATGGACATCCCACTACGACAGTTTAATGACTCAGGCCTTGTTATCCCCTTACGAGCAGGGATACAAGTACCAAGTTAAAACGTCTTTTGGTATGACGAACCACCGACCTTCCTCTCTCCAGGCAAATGTTCTATCCCCCGACCATAGAGGCGGTCCTTAGTAAATGCTTTTTTGTTAAATGTAATATGTGTTCATTTAAGCTACGCATTAAGATGGATACTATAATTCTTGCATGAGCAAGAAGCATCTTTTTACATCGTTTAGTAGGAACAATCGAACACTCAGCAACTTGGATAGTAATGGTGACAGAGCATTCATTTTTTTATAGACATCTGTGACTTGTCATATGCAATAACAATCCAACAAAGTACAAAAGTACGACAGACAAAGGCTTATCTCTACAGTAGAAAAATCCTTTAACATATAAATCAATCCTGACAAAGGGATATAGGAAATAGTTAAAAATGTATATACTATAAAGTCATTAAAAGAAAACACGTTTTGGAACAATATTCGTTTTTGGTATTTCGAACGTTTAAACTATCCGGGGGCACGAATGGCCCAGTCGTCTTAAGCGCCGCGATTCGCTGTGCAGAGTTGCGTCCCTTTGGCACGCCAGAAACCTATGATTGTGGGTTCGCCCCGAATATGTTTCTAGGTTTGTCAGCACCATACCCGTGCTTGTGGGATTCTCCGAAGTGGTAAACGTCTGAGACCTGCATCACTTCGGGCTTTCCTCCCACATTAAGCTGACACGCCGTGATATAACTGGAATACTGTTAAAAGCGGCGTTAAACCCAACTAACGCACTCTTATCTATCCTGTTGACACAGGTCATTGGATTTTATCCTCTATCCACTATCTATTCAATTGTAACGCCTTTGGTAATTCTAAACATATTCCATCTAATTATTATGAATAGCCCAACCTGTATAAATACAAGAAACAGTCTGCATTCACTGCCAGTCTCTCAACGCATGATAAATTACCTAAATACACACAACCTAAATAATTTAAACACAGCACCAAATAAGACCTTCATACCCAAATTCCAAACACCGAAAATCGACATATCTCTCTCCACAAAACTAAATAAAGAATCCAAATACCTCCAATCCACCACACTAGCATACATCCTCGAAAAATGGCCAAATTAATGCCACATTTACACAGACGGGTGCTCTGACCCGAGCTCAAAACGCACAGGATTCGGCATCCACATCAACAAACCCCAAAAAGAAACACAATCCTATAGGCTCCCAAATAATCATTTAATTTGCACAGCCGAATTAATGGGGATAAGAACAGACCTCCACAGCGCTCAAATAAGAAGACACCAAAAAATCCTAATCCGTTCGGACCCATTAAGTGTGCTCCAGGCCATAAAAAAACAAAAACACAAAAGATAGCCCAAAACGAATACTAAAGATACTTAAAAGCGCCAACAATCTACGTAAACTAGATAAAGACAAAGAAAGAGTTTGGATCCCTTCCCACGTTGGAGTGTTTGGCAACGAACACGCCGACAAAGCAGCCAAATCAGCACTTATATTAGAAGAAGTAAGCATCAACCTACCAATATCAAAAAACGAAATTAAAAGTATCACAAAGGAGAAACCCTTTCAAAAGTGGCAAAATAACTATCAGAAATCTGACTGCAAACTAAAACACCTGCTACAAAAGCCACTCAAAAAAACAAAACATCCATCATAAATCCAAACAAATTGACAAAGTAATAACCAAACTACCAACAGGCCACACTAAGTTAAACCTCCACCTACACCAAATTAAAAAACAACAACACCAAACCGGTAAATGCACCCACTGCAACTTAAAAGAAACACATGAACAAGTAATACTATGTTGCCCACATTACCAGCAACACAGAACAACACCCCAGTCCACACTGAACTGCAACAATCAAATGACACAAGCAACGCTACTAAACCCAAAATTACTTAAAAACCTATAAAGCACGAGGCATCTATCTAATCAAAACAGGCCTACTCGGCTGCATCTAAAAACCTACAACAAACACGCTGTCAATAACCCTAAAATTCTAAACACCATAAAAACACAAACCACACAAACTCACAAAAACTCCATTTAGCCATATGGGATCTGAAACTTTGCAAGCCAAGGGGGTAGCAATGTGATCAGTGCCTTAGACTTGTGCTTCGACCAGGACTGTGGCTGAAATTTCTCTTTACTTCAACTCATACAGGTCATACAGCTTACAGGTTGATCCTTTCTAAACACATGTTATGTGTTTAATTTGATTGTGATGACCTTTCAATTCGACGTCCTCTTGAATCTGCAGCTGACGTATTTTCGGCATCTACTCTGAAATCACGGAATTCATGAAGCTGAAATAATTGATCACACCAATGACGGGTCATTGGAAGGTAGCCTCACACACACACACACACACACACACACACACACACACACACACACACACACAGAGATTATATTTATATATATATGTGTGTGTGTGTATATATAATTTCTTGAATTTGAAGTGTTCTTGTGTGTGCAAAATGTCCCTTCTTTTCAACAATCCCTTGAAATATTAAGGTAATTCGTAAACCCCTCTTTCAATTGTCGTTGTTGTCGATCCGCTGCAATTGTGCGAGATATTTGAAAGCATGTACACAAATGGCCGTCTACTCAGCTGTTTAAGTTTGTTCACATGTGCATGTACTTTGAACCCGTTAATCGGAAACTGATAATTTGATCATGGAGTTAGAACATGAAAGTGGTTCCGAAATATGTCACTTTTTTGGACGATTTTGTTCACCCAATAAATTGATTGCGCACTTGGTCTTTCACTATACGAACTGGTGTGCTGATATATATCCGAATCGAAATAAATTGGTATGTCTGTTTCGAAATTAAATTATTATGAGGTCGCCGTTAAATATTAGGGATAAAGTTGGCAGCTGTGGACATCAACATTAATTCGCTCAATTTCAACACTCAGTAGACATTACATCGACAAATGCAACAGTGCCTGGACTATCCGGCATCCATGTTGCCTTTGGTGTGAACAACGTCAGTCCTTCAACACCTGTTGTGACCAGTACACATTAATAATGAAGCTTGAGTTTACTTCCCATGCAATTGTCATTTCCATTGTAGTTTAACTCTGTTAGATTTTAATGCGACAAGATACGAGAATGACGACGCCTGCTGTTTATGGCCTTCAGAAGCTCCCATAACTATAAAGTGATAATTCTACATAGGCGCTGTTATAATTAAAGTAGTGACATCAATACAAAAATAGCATACAATGAAAACTAGTATCGAATAATGCCATAAAGAGATACATAATTATGCTTGCAATCAAACAATAACAAAAAAGTTATAAAAATACAATAAACTCACAACTAACATTCAGCAATTCAAATTGAAGTCCAGGATCGCAGGTAATTTATTTCCAGAGTGTTAAAAATTGTACAAACTATATTTTTTTCAATGAAGGTTTAAGCTTAGCACGTGTTAAACGTGCTGCTGTGAAAATGAATGGAACTTTGAAAAGTCACCAATATGCCCATCGTTTATGTTAACTATTGCTTCTGGTCAGATCACCCTAGTGGTGGGCTGGGACTCGGTTGTCAATTGTGTCATATGCGCGCGGCACCAACTGTAGCATCAAGACAGATGTAGCCTTCTTGCTAGACTGTCGCCATAAAATGCCAATACATTGACAGGCGACGCATCCAAAGTTACATATCTAACAACTTGTGACAACTAAATCCATTCAGCTACCCTCTTAGCTGAGATATAGCAGAAGATTTCAGGAACAATGAGCCGTGTCTTCTTGGTGGTGGTATTCGTAATCAGTGTGATCTTCGTGAACGAATCCAAGGGCCTGTCTTGCCGTCCATGTAGAAAAGTCAAGTGCGCGGTCCCAAAATGTACACCATGCGAACGCATCAAAGACCTGTGTGGTTGCTGTGACATCTGTGGTCAGAAAGTCGGGGAGTATTGCTCTGCATTTAACCAGTGAGTATTTCGGGGTTTTAAACAATAATTTCGGATCACTCATCGCACAGGGACGACTAAAATTGCAATGGTGCTTCTGAGTAGCCTAGCAGTTAAAGGTTTTACGCTCATCACACCCCGGTTCGATTCCCCATATTGTGCAATGCTTTAAAGCTGATATCTAGCGTCCCCCGGCGTGGTTGGCATATTGTGGCGTAAACCAATACCCACTTACTCCTCCCAAAAACGTTCACACGATGAAATATATTCACACATACCTAATCTTCCAATATCAAGTGGGACGTCTCTACTATTGAACAATGATGCTTATATTGCCTACATAAGATTGACCGTCTTGTAATAGAAATGAACATTGGATAAGAAAGTGAATTTAGTTAACGTTTCTATTTTTTTTATAAATAGACCGCGTATCATTCTGAAATAATGTCTCATGATACATGTACGTGAACAAAGTATCATGATACATTATCGTAAAGTGACTTAAGGGATCACACAATACATCCTCAGTTGCATACTCCCTATGGAGTTGAGAATGCAAACTGACCTGTCGACCAGTGTACTTATGACGAGCACTATGAGCATACGTTGTGTGACCCCTCGGGAAGATCCGGGTTAGAATAGATCTTCAACAGCCCATGCTGTGGCAAGAGGCGAGTAACGGGATCCGGTGGTCGAGTTCGATGCATGTCATCCTATCCCAATTGCGTAGATCGATGCTCACGATGTCTATCGAATCGAATATTCCATATCGTCGTCATATACCTGGAATATTCTTGATCATGAGTGCACCGTTATATTGGCGAATGAATGCAAATTACATTTATACAATTTTGCAAAAAAAACCCACGAAACTCGTTTTATTATTGCATGTTTGGTCAAGATATTTGTCATATGTGACCATGTCCCTTTCTGAAACAGGTGCGTGGACGACTTATGGTGCATACAGATGGATGGTGACAAAGTATCTGCACGGCGGAGACTGGTCTGGCATGATTGGTTCACAGGTGTGTGCGGAATTCTGGAGACAGAGCATGGTAAGTTATAGTAAAATAGAAACTCTAATGCCGAGAGGGTCAAGGGGACGCCAGTCGTCTAATTAAGGCACCGTTATTCCCTGTGCAAAGTGGCGTCCTTTGGCACGACAGAAACCTGTGATCGTGGGTTCGAATCCTGATTCGCCTCGATGATGTGTCTAGGTTTCTCAGCACCAAAGCCGTGTTCATTGGTTTTTTTACCAAAGTGGTAAACATTTGAGACTGCATCACTTCGGGCTTTCCTCCCGTATTAAACTACAATACTGTTCAAGGCGGCGCTAAAGCGATCTCAATCACTCACCTACACCTGTAAAATACAAATACTCTTAATATCACCGAAATATAAAACTGAACATAAACAAGATAGGTGTGTTATATTTGTATCATTGTTGTCTTTCTCAGAGGATCCCTCAACCACAGAGACTGTTGGAACCACCACAGGGTCTGGGACAACCACAGGGTCTGGAACCACCACAGGATCTGGTACAACCACAGGGTCTGGAACCACCACAACGACTGGAACCACCACATAGGATGTTGGAACCACAGAGACTGTTAGAACCACAGAGAAAGTTAACAGTAAACATTAATCAGTCGTGTGTCATGAGGTTTGTGATACAACGATAAATATATCAAATCATATGCTATCAATATTCGGATCACACTGTTTAGACTGAGCAAATAGAACTTCTTTTATTACCCACATGGTTTGAATAGTTAATAGAAATCGAATGCGCCCTTATGCAGCTATCACTTCACGCGTACCAGTATATTGTTAACGTCATCCGTAGACATTGTTGACGTCATTTGAATCTTATTGTGACGTAAGTTCGGAATGACGTCACACTAGAAACGATATTCGCCATTCGATAATTCTGGTTTTCTATGATGTCAGCCACGATAAGTGTTTTGTACTGAAGTGGAGCTGAAAAGGATTAAGAAATAATGGGTAATAAAGAAATTATTGCATTTCCATGTGTGTCATACTGATTTTACGAAACTAGTAGGATGTGATTCGATTCGGTATGGTATTTGAGTTTTAGGGCGAGTTGTACCATTAAAGGTCTATTTGCGCCGAAAACAAAATGGATTTAAGTAAGAGCAAAGCACCATTTGGAAATGTGTTGATTTGACTAACGGTCGGTTCGTATATGTGCGGGATTCTTCACGGGTCTGTCTGTCAACTGTGACTTGACCTACCATTGTACCAGACGGCGTTGAGTTGTCTTTGAGTATAGGTCTCATAACGTGTTTAACAGTATTTCAAATACGTGCAGTTTTATGCGTGAGGACAACCAACCTTTAACGTAGTTTATAGACATTTTCCACATTGATGAATACCATTTATTGGTTGATTGTTTTTTTTATGTTAAATGTCGCACTCGGCAATATTCCAGCTATAAAATATGATCGTTTGCCAGTGATTCTGCGTATCCACTTCATTATGATGAATATCCTGAGCCCATGAGCTGCAACAACATTGATTCGAGCCCGATTAGAAACTCACAACGCTAAAAACAGGCCTTCCAATCAAATGACTCTAACGAGCGAGAGACGTTTTATGCTGCTAGGAGTTAGGAGCGAGGGTGGTGATGACGTCACTTCCGATACGAAGCTATCAATCATGCTATAATAATTTGGAGATATAATACACTGGGTCGAGGACGTCTATATGACAGCGTTCTGTAAATAAATCTGGACCAGACAATCCAGTGATTGACATCACGAGCATCGATACAAATAACTGGGATACGACTATCGCATCCATTTAGTCTGCTGAACCCGGAATTCCAACAGGGAGGAGACCCGTGAAGACCCGGGATGGAATAGGTCTTCAGCAACCCATGCTTGTCGTAAAAGGCGAATATGCCTGTCGTAAGAGTCGACGAACGGGATCGGGTGGACAGGCTCGATGACTTGGTTGATGCATGTCATCGATCCAAATTTGGTGGATCGATGCTCATGATGTCAATCATTGGATTGTCTGGTCCAGACTCGATTATTTACAGACCGCCGTCATATAGCTGGACTATTGCTGAGTGCGGTGTAAAACAACAAACAAACAAACAAACAAACAAACCCACTGGGATGATTGAAACCATGGCCATGGGTAAAGTAACGACGGACCTATTATCCAATATGGCAATGTACCTGGATGCTGCTTTAGTCTTTCCTCCCCCATCTTGACGCATGTAACGTCACCGGCCCCAGCTCCATTTCGCTAATCACTAACTCAGCACATGATTTTTATCTCTCATGAGCTTGATCATTCAGAATGTCTCTTCTGAACGCGGGTTCGGTGTAGATTTACATTCAAAATTGCTCCTAAGATGAATTCTTGGAAATATTACAGGTAAAACGAATCAGACTGTTATAAATGAAGTGTCAGATGGAAAAAGGTGTTTCCTTATTACACAGGATCATCCCGTTGTATATTAGATGGCACGAGAACGTTAAGTCGAGATGATATCGCCGTGCCTCTGCTTCGTGAAAGATCAGTGTTATTTGTTTGGACTCTGTTCATATGGGGGCACGGATGGCCCAGTCGTCTAAGGCGCCGCGATTCGCTGTGCAGAGTTGCGTCCCTTGGGCACGCCAGAAACCTATGATTGTGGGTTCGAATCCCGGTTCGCCCCGATAATGTTTCTAGGTTTGTCAGCACCATACCCGTGCTCGTGGGTTTCACCGAAGTGGTAAACGTCTGAGACCTGCATGACTTCGGGCTTTCCTCCCACATTAAGCTGACACGCCGTGATATGACTGGAATAGTGTTAAAAGCGGCGTTAAACCCAACTCACTCACTCACTCACTCTGTTCATAGCGTCGTGTCATTCACAGAAGATTCAATTATATGAACCGTCAACTAGTCTCGATTATCCTATCTCTACAGTAGAAAATCCTTTAAAATATAAATTTATTCAAACCTGGCAAAGCGATATAGGAAATAGTTTAAAATGTATATACAATAAAGTCATTAAAAAGATACTCGTTTCTGAAGAATAAAGTTCCTTATAATATTCGTTATTAGTATTTCGAACGTCTAATCCTGTCCTATCCTGTTGAGACTCGTCGTTGGAATTTGTCCTCTATCCACCATCTATTCAATTGTAACGCCATTCCGTGTAATTATTATGAATAGCCAAAGCTGTAAAAATACAAGAAAGAGTCTACACGTAATGCACTTCAAATCGTAACGGCCATTGCGACTATTTTATCTTTTGATTGATATTAATGTATTGTCGTAACTGCTTTCGGGCGTCCAGAGCGACCCTAATACAGTTACTAAATGTATTGCCGTTCCTGGTCCTCGTGGTCAATTACGCCAAAACATTGCCCCTCGCCTTGTCCGCAGCGGCTCGGCTCCGTCAAGGAGTGATTGGTCTAACGACACTTACTCCAAGTTGTCTATCAGCATTCACACACGCATAATAAAGAAACGCAACACCAGCCTTATACTCATATACTTACTTACTCTCAGCCCATCTATCAATACAGGACAGGATCAGACCGGCCAGACTCGTCACTAACTGGGGAAACTTAGAACGATCGGGATTCGACTCGACCGATTGCAATCCGCGCTCTCTTTTCCTCATGTTAAAGTATCATTTAATAGTGTTCGGGTCTGGCCTGTCTTTGTCACGTGTCACAATACCTCATTTTGATTCGTTAAACGTTAGATCTGACCATGAACTCATGTGTGTCGTAATCGGAAAAATACAGAAGCCTACGTACCATATTGCTCATCTCTCTATTGATTTTGTGATTCGCATCCGGAAGCTCCAAATGAAATATACCTTGAAACTCTCTATTTGTTTCATTAACTAATGGACGATAACCCGGAACCAATCCAATGAAAAATATGAAATGTCAAAAATATACTTGTGATAAATGTGAAATGTCTTTTATCTATTGATTCCTTTCAAACTAAAAGTTCTGTCACAAACTATATCTAATGCATCTCCTCATTGCAGCTATAACGGTTTTATTTGTTACCATTTTCTAATGTTTTTAAGATGCCTTTTTAACCTTATAACAGTATGCTCTTGTACTACCGTAGGTGGTTTGTTTTGTTTGTTTGTTGTTCAACGCCGCACTCAGCAATAGTCCAGCTATATGACGGCGGTCTGTAAATAATCGAGTCTGGACCAGACAATCCAGTGATTGACATCATGAGCATCGATCAACGCATTTGGGACACGATGACATGCATCAACCTGACCAGCCGATCCCGTTAGTCGCCTCTTACGACAAGCCTAGTCGCCTTTTATGTCAAGCAAGGGTTGCTGAAGACTGATTTGAGAATACAGAATTGTGAATTGGTAATCAAACACTGTAGTCTCAATATGACAACTGTTCTGTTTCAGGAACTGCTTACATCAGCTTACATGTAGATCCTTTCTTTACACATGTTATGTGTGTAATTTGATTGTGATGACCTTTCAATTCGACGTCCTCTTGAATCTACAGCTGACGTATTTTCGGCATCTACTCTGATATCACGGAATTCATGAAGCTGAAATAATTGATCAAAACAAGGTACGCATACAATTTCCACACACACACACGCACGCACGGACGCACACACACTCCGCTGCAATTGAGCGAACTTATTGAGCGAAAGACATTTGAGAACATGTATATTAATGGCCGTCTATTTGACTGTTAAAGTTTGTACACAGATGCATGTACTTTGACCCATTTCTAGAAAGAATAAAACCGCCTGTCAGAAACTGCTAATTTGATCATGAAGAAAGAGCATGTAAGGGGTTCAGAAAATATGTCACTTATAAGTGAGTTGGGTTTAATACCGCTTTTAACAGTATTTCAGTCATGTCACGGCTTGTCAGCTTAATGTGGGAGGAAAGCCCGAAGTGATGCAGGTCTCAGACGTTTACCACTTCGGGTATGGTGCTGACAAACCTAGAAACATAATCGGGGCGAACCGGGATTCGAACCCACAATCATAGGTTTCTGGCGTGCCCAAGGGACGCAACTCTGCACAGCGAATCGCGGCGCCTTAGACGACTGGGCCACCCGTGCCCCCTGTATTCCCCCCGATAAATTGATTGCGCCTTTGGTCTTTCGTTCAGCGCTACAAGAACGAATGGTAAATAAATTGGTATCTCTGTTACGGATTCAACTATTTAGAGGTCGCCGTTAAATATTATGAATATAGTTGGCAGCTGTCGACATCAACATTCATTCGCTCAATCTCCACACCCTGTAGACATTACATCGACAATTGCAACAGTGTCTAGACTATCTGGCATCCATGTTGCCTTTGGTGTGAACAACGTCAGTCCTTCAACACCTGTTGTGACCAGTACACATTAATAATGGAGCGTGATGTTTGCTTTCCATGCATTTGTCCTTTCCATTGTGACTGAACGCTATTAGATTTTAATACGAGAATGACGACGCCTGCTGTGTATGGCCTTCAGTAGCTCTCATAACTACAAAGTGACAATCTACGTAGGCGCTGTTGTGACACAATACAAAAGTAGCATACAATGAAAACTAGTATTGAATAATTGAGAACTCCCAACTTCCCATTTTGGAAATTCAGAAGCCAGAGTGGACCGGTAAACCCTACGGCGCTGCGCTATACAGCGAGGCCAATTTTGAACGGAACTCCACCGAGCGCCAGGCATCGGGAGCCCCACGCTTATAGAACGTGTACCAAACGGGACAGCATGACTGGACAGATCAGCCGGAATTTATCAGCGATCAATGTTCAGAAGTGTCAACCAGACACACGCATAATGCTATAAAGAGATACATAATTATGCTTGCAATCAATTAATAACAAAAGTTATAAAAATACAATAAACTCATAACACAAATACAGCCAACATTCAACGATTCAAATTGAAGTCCAGGATCGCAGGTAATTTAATTTCTCTCAGTGTAATAAATTGTATAAACCATATATTTTCAATGAAGGTTAAAGCTTGGCATGTGTTAAACGTGTTT